ATTAAGTAAGGACTTGTGTCGCTAAAGTTTCGTCATAACGAATTTAGGGAAAATCAATTAACGACTGGAGGCGTAACAGTACTCTGGAATTATTGATATGGTATTGCAGCAATGTTTTTTAGTGTTTTTTTTTTTTTTTTAATTGAATGCTGTGAATGGTTCCGTGATACAAATTTGACACCAGAAGAGTTGCATGGATTATGAAAAGTTGAGAACTACTGACTAACCCATTGTTTGCTGCTTCTAAAATTCAGATCTCTCCTGATCAAGTCATCACGTAGTGTAACAAGTGGTATGTAGTTCTTACTCCTTTCAAAACTCAGGCAGTCATTTTCTACAGAAGCATAGACAGTCAATTTAAAAATCTTTCCAGAGCCAAACTTGAAATGCACTATGAAGATATAAAATTATCTAAAATAATAAAATTTCCGGGGGTAACATTTAACACAAGGTTAATCTGAACTAATCACATTACTAAAACCTACCAACAGATCAGCAAAAAAATAAATTTCCTCCGGAAAATAGGAGAACATATTTCAGGATACAAACCAAATACAAAATTACTAACATACAAAGCCTATATCCACCCAGGCTTCGAACATGTAAACATAATCATGTACTCAATGACCAACACCCAATTTGACAAACTAAAAAGTCACCAATTCAGAGTTATTAAAATAGCATACAATCCCCCTCTCTACAGCACAAATCAATATATAAGATCCAATATTAGTAATACATAACTCTTTGAAAAACTCAGTTGTACACTAACCATTGCTGTAAACACAGGAGAAAAACTTGCGTTGAAGAATAACAAACTTTATGATACTTATTGTTCTTGTTTATTAACCACACCCGCATTTCATTCTTTGTTCCTCGTCTTTTCTTATATAATTATCATAAACTTAAATTTCTCCTTTTTTGAGAAAATTTATTTTTTACATTTAGAAAATTGCTTAATCTTTTTAATAAAGAAATTAGTTCCTTTCCTATCTAATCGTTTAAGTATATTCATATGTACACGTATGTAATCTGCTTTTCTAAAATAGTTAAGATATAGACAAAATATTTATATTTTATTATTGTTGCTGATTTGTGTCCCCCGGTAGGTAACCGGTAAGTTTCAAGACTTTCAATCTTGAAATTCGTCATTCTTAATTTTGACTTATTCAAAATCAGACGTTGTTTTAGGGTTTAGATTTGAATGTTTTCTTAAACTGATACCTATTTGTTTAGGAAATTATCGGAAGTTAGCCTAAAAAGTATTTTAAATTCTTGAGGAAGCGGAGCGGTTAATAATATTATTTACTATTTACGGCTAATAATAGTAGTATTACAACTACAAGTTAGTTTGGTTATCAGTTACAAATTTATTAGGAAGGTGAAACTTGCCTAATGCCGTGATAAAATATACATGTTTGAGGGAATTGTTTGCAAGTTTTATATTTTATGAAACAAGAGTCATGACAGAAAATAGATATTGTGTAGATTATGCCAAAAGAGGAACTGCTAGTTGCAGAAAGTGTAAACAAAAGATTGAAAAAGATGTGCTAAGGATTGGAAAAATTGTGCCAAATCCATTTACAGATGGAGAGGGTGAGATGAAACAGTGGTTCCATGTACCATGCATTTTTGAACAACTTCAGCGAGCACGTGCAACTACAAAAAAAATTGAAGATCCTGGAGACTTGGAAGGTTGGATATTCTTAAAAAATGAGGATAAAGAAGTCATTTTGAATCTCATTAAAATTGCACTACAAAAGAGCCCTCAAAAAATAATTAAGAAAGATACAGTTCAAAAGAATAAAAAAGAACAATCAAAAACCAGAAATGAAGAGTTTATTAGTCCAAGCTCATCAAAAGTAAATAGTTTTGAAAGGCAAAGCTCAACAAAGGATGACAGCTTTAGGGAATTCTGCCAGCTTTGTGCTAAACTTGCTGAAGAACCAAGTTATAATGAGAAAACAAAAATAATGGCTAATTTTTTTGAGAATGGCAGGTCAGGAAATGGATTTTCAGGTGATTTACTTTTATGGGTCAGAATGCTATTACCAGGGGTTGTTAAACGAGTGTATAATCTTCAGAGCAAGCAATTAGTGAAACTTTTTTCACAGATTTTTGGCACTAGTCAGGAAGAAATGATAATTGATTTAGAGGAAGGAGATGTTGCTGAAACCATCAAAATATTTTTTGAACAGTCAGAAATGCAACATAACATAAAAAGCTATTTGACCTTGCAAGAGGTGGATACATTTTTGGACAATTTATCATTAGAAACAAGAGAAGAGAATCAGTCACATATTCTGAAGAAAATTGCTATTAGATGCACTGGAAATGACTTAAAAATGATTATTAGACTGATTAAACGTGATCTGAGAATTAATACAGGTGCTAAACATGTATTAGATGCTCTCCATCCAACTGCATATGAAGCATTTCAAGCCTCTAGAAATCTGCAGGACGTAGTAGAAAAGGTTAATGAGAGAAAGAGAACAGGAAATCTGAAAAAGTCATTGAGCATTCAAGTATCATTAATGACACCTGTGCTGCCCATGTTAGCTGAACCTTGCAGTTCTGTGGAATATGCCTTCAAGAAATTTCCAAGTGGAATGTATGCTGAAATAAAGTATGATGGTGAAAGGGTACAGGTCCACAAACATGGAGACAAATTTAATTATTTTAGTCGAAGTTTAAAACCCGTGATGCCTCACAAAATTTCACATCTGAAAGAATACATACCTAAAGCTTTTCCTCAAGCTAGTGATTTGATACTTGATAGTGAAGTACTACTTGTAGACACTCAAACTGGGAAGCCACTTCCATTTGGAACATTAGGAGTTCATAAAAAAGCTGCTTTCAAGGATGCAAGTGTGTGTTTGTTTGTCTTTGACTGCATTCACTATAATGGAGAAAATCTAATGGAGCGTCCTTTATCTGAGAGACGCAACATTCTGTCTCAGAACATGATGGAGATTAAAAATCACATCATGTTTTCAGAAATGAAGCTTGTGATAGAAAAAGAAGTACTAAAAAAAATGATTCAATCTGCCATTAATCAGGGTTTAGAAGGGCTAGTTCTGAAAGGCACAAACAACACGTATGAGCCAGGAAAACGACATTGGCTAAAAATTAAAAAAGATTACCTAGAAGATGGAGCAATGGCAGATTCAGCTGATCTTGTTGTTCTTGGAGCATATTTTGGAACTGGAAATAAAGGTGGAATGATGTCAATATTTCTGATGGGATGTTACGATCCTGCTAGTAAAAAATGGTGTACTGTTACAAAAGTGCATGGAGGACATGATGATGCTACTTTTGAAAAACTCCAAACTGAGCTGGACATGAAAAAAATTAGGAAGGACCCAAGTAAAGTTCCTGCTTGGCTGAAAGTGAATAAAACTCTCATTCCTGATTTTGTTGCTAATGATCCTAAAAACTCCCCAGTATGGGAAATTGTTGGAGCAGAATTTACAAAAGCAGAAATCCATACAGCCAATGGAATCTCTATTCGTTTTCCAAGAGTTGCAAAAATCCGAGATGACAAAACATGGAAAGAAGCCACAAACTTACAGGAATTACAAGAATTGTTTAAAAAGTCAAAACAAGTTACTGGTGAAATTCAAGATATGTTCAAAAGCAAAAATTCATACCAAGATATATCTGATGAAGCAAAACCAAAATTATTCAAAAAAATCAGTAAGAGTGGAACTCCTAAGAAGAGAAAGCAAGAAAAAAGAGATGAGACATCTGCAAAGACATTAAAGTGTTCATTTCCTGATATCTTCAGTGGAATTAAATTATATTTACCAGAAACTGTTGAACAGTATGACTATCTCTGTCGTCTCTTTATAGCTTATGATGGTTACTTAGTAGAACACTACAATATCGAAGAGGCAACACACATTGTTAATGACAATGAAGTGACACTTCCTGACACTAGAGCATTAATTGTTAATGTTAATTGGCTATGGGACAGCATTAAACTGCAGAGACAAGCTCCTACTAAAGCCTATGTTGTGAAAAAGAACGGTGATAAACACTGAACTGTACAGTTTAATCCTTATTTGCTGTGAACTGTGTATGCATCTATCTGCATGATTCCAAAATTGATTGAAAATGTTAGTTACTGTAATGATTTTTTTGTTACACGAATGTTCACTTGATATTATATACATGTATATATATCAAGTGCTACATAGAAAAATTGTAAAAAATTATGAAAATTATTTTTACAAAAAATTCCTGATGTCACTTAAATCAGTGATGCTTGCGAGTAAATTAGCATACTTAACTTCATTTGTTTTTATACTTTTCATACTGGTGGAGTTTGTGAATTGCATCATACTGAATAATTTTGTCATTGGTCACATTAATGCAAAAACTTGCATCCTAGATGCAAAATAAATCAATTGAACAGAAAACAAAGCTCATTCTACATTAATGAGACGTATAAAAATGGGTAAAGGATGCAATAATAAAGTAAGATGTTTCTTAACCCTTTCCAGATTTGGGGGGGTGTCACTGATATCTTTTGATTTTTGACAGTGGAAATTTGACCAAATTGCATGAAACTTAGAATCAACTTATTAAGTACTGAAAAACCATGTAGTTCAAGCTTTAGGATCTTTGTATAATATGATTTTGTTGTTGTGTCCAAAATTTTGTTCAGATATTGTTTTGAAAAAAATTAAAATACTTCCTTTCAATTTAAAATTTCAGTATTTCTAAATGTTGATCAAAAAGTTTCATAATTCCATTTTTGTTTTGCAAAAAAAAAAATTGCTTGACTGCAGAACACTGTGGAGATGGGATTCTTTTGATGGAAGAGCCCAGTGTTAAATATTTAAATTATATACATGTGATTGAAAACTTCTCTACTTCAAGCAGGTTCCGAGTTTAAATATGCATAGTAACTTCATTTGAGACACAGTTTTAGTGCTCTTTAAAAGTGCATCATAACATATAGAAAATCTTTTTCCTTTGTGTTAGCATTCAACTCAACATTTTTTATTTTTTTTTAGATTTATGAGTATGCATATTACTGCACTCAGTATACAGAACTGGCTAAAGAAAATTAGATAAAATCTTTTGCTGTTTATAATACATGGTGACCCAACAGTATTTAATAGTATAAGTTGCAATATTGATGACATTTTTTGGAATATTTTGTGTGTGACTCTTATTATTAAGGATCCTGTATAGTCAACAAAGTCATAAGCTCACAATAAATTTAGTGCTACAGAAGTTGATGGGATCTATCATTATGGTTAAAAAAATTATATTTTAGTATCTAATGACATTTTACATTATCTGTTAATGTAGCATTTAAACTAATGAGATGTTTTCTTTAACTGTTCGACACGTACCTAAATATACTTCATCTAACAAATCCACTCCTGGATAATGTGACTGGTTCACTCAGGACATTATAATATTTGTATAATGTGTACATAATAATATTAAATATTGGAAATTTTATTATACACTTTCATGTAATTAAGAAATTATAATTTATGAGATGTTACACTCAGTTGTAAAGTGCTCCCTTAACTAAAGTTATTTCCAGTTTCATAGTGTGTTCCATTTAAACACCTGACATGATTTAATATAGGGTAAAGTGTGGGAAATTATAGCAGGATTTCAAGAGGAGCTTAATCTTTTACATGTATGGGATACATCAGCTAACAATAACTTGCAGGAAATTAGAAAGAATACTATTAGCACTAAAAGTAGTGGATTTAATTGTAATGAGCCTATTCTGTTTAGCAACAGATTTCAGCCCTTGGCTGGTTCTGATGAACTATTTGAGAGAATGATGTGGATGATAAAGAGGTTATAGTTATAGGTGATTCCTTGACAAGGTATGTGGATAGGATAGTCTGTGGGGTAAATACAGTGAAAAGAATTAGATTATGCTACTGAGGGACACAGGTGAAGGATATAACTGACAGAGCAAGAGATATAATGAAGGGTGCTAGCAATAATGCAGTTTTTGTTGTGCACGTAAGAGCTAATGATGTAGGGAAAAGTAGGCCAGAAGTGCTAATTAATAAGCACAAGGGTTGATAAAGGCATTTAAAGGAAAAGGCCATAACATAATTGTGTCGGGGATACTGTAGAGAATTAATTGTGGAAATTAAATTATGAGTAGGTCACTAGGGCTAAATGCTAGGCTTAGGTTAATATGTAAGGATGAGCAGATAGGCTGGTTGGACTTGTAGGATTATTTCATGGGAAAAGAGCTTTTTGGAATGGATGGTTTACATTTAAGTAGGGTAGAATTTGCCTTGTTTGCAAGGGCTATTAACTCTGCTGTAAGGGATCATTTAAACTAAGATTCGACAGTTGTGAGGGCCAGGATAACCTAAATGCAAAAAAATATGATGTAGAGAAAAGTTTGGCATAGGAAATAAATATAGTAGTAGTTCTAAGAATAGGTTTTATTGTTACTATTGTAATGCTAGAAGTATAACAAATAAAATAGATGACTTTAAGGCACTGGTAGGAATGGAGGATTTTGATATAATGGGAGTAACTGAAACATGGTTAAATATTGATGATTTTGGTGACAGAAGTTTCTTTAAAATAAAGAGTTATACGTTATTTAATAGGGATAGAGTACTAAAGAGAGGGGAGGAGTGGCTTTATATGTAAAATGTGTGTTACATCTTGTTGAAGTTGAGGATATCAATGATAATAGCAAGAAGATTGAATCCATTTGGGTTTCTATTAGTGGATATAAAGGAAAAAGACTTTCAGTGGGAATTTGTTACAGACCACCAGATAGTACTGATGAAATTATTGAGAAACTTTACAGTGATGAGATTCAGCTCTTAATGAAGTCATAATTATGGGTGATTTTAATTTCAGGCATATAGACTGGGAAAACCTAGGATCAAACCATGAGGGAGAAAGGTTTTTGGAAACTGTTTAAGATGAGTTTTTTCATCATTTGATCAAGGAACCTGCTAGAGACAATGATACTTTACATTTATTGTTAACTTCTAATATGGAAATTGTTGATAGGGTAGAAATTGGAAAACATCTGGGTGCAAGTGATCATTGTTCTGTTAGGTTTGATGATTTGCTGCATATGGAGATCAGAAATAATGATATTTTAGTTACAAATTTCAAAAAAGCAAATTTTGAAGGAATGTGACAAGAATTATCTGTTATGAATTGGGCAGCTGAGTTATTTGGAGATATCAATGTGGGAATTTTTAAGGATACATTGTTATATATTCAAGATAAGCATATTCCTTATAGAAAGAAAAGAATGACAGCAAGTAAAACCCAGGTTGCCTTGGAAAGGTTATAAGAGATAAAATTAAAGAAAATCATCATAAATCTAAGAAATTTAAATTGACTGCCATGACAAGAGATTTAAAAGATACAAGAAAGTTGGTCAGACAGGTAATTAGGACATCGTAAAGGATGTATAAAATAAAAGGCTGAAAATGTAAAAATTAACAATAAGGATTTTTTTAAGTGCATTAAGGGTAAACAAAATGTTAGGATTGGGGTAGGACCCTTGAGGGATCATTATGAGATGGTGGGGTATTAGATTCTGCTTTTACTAATCAGTTTTTACTAATATAGATGTAAGCAGTATTCCTCATCTTGAATAGTTGTTAGATGGCAATGAGGTCAGAAAGTATGATTTCATTAATTCTGAGCTCGTTAAGAAAACATTGGGCCAGATAATATTTCCCCAAAGGTTTTGAAGGAGGTTAAAGATTGGATATGTGAGCCACTTGCTACTATTTTTTGTAAGCCTTTAAATAGTGAGCAGGTACCAAAGAATTGAAAGTTAGCTAATGTCATTCCTCTTTTCAGGGAAGGTAGTGAAAAATTTTCCCAGTAACTATAGGCCTATTAGTCTTACATCAGTTGTGGGAAAAGTTTTGGAAAGTGTTTTAAAATATGCTTTATAAGGTCATTTAACAAAGTTTAGAATTTTTATTGGATAGTTAACATGGTTTCATTGAGGGAAAATCTTGCCTTATAAATCTTCACATTCTTTTAAAAGGTTACTTCTTATGTAGATGAGGGTAAGGGTGTAGTTTTGGTGTATCTGGATTTTCAAAAACCTCTAACAAGGTGCCACATAAAAGTCTTGTAAAAGAATGATCTCTTTTAGGTGTGGGGGATAAGTTAGCTAATTGGATAGAAAAGTGGCTGGATGGAAGAAAGCAAAGGGTTGTTATAAATGGAGTTCAGTCAAGTGGGGTATCTCAGGGCACAGACTTAGGACCTTTGTTCTTTTTGAGGTACATCAATGACATAGATGATGTAATGGTCAATAAATTACTTAAATTTGCTGTTGATATTAAGGTCTTGGGTGTTGCTAACTGTGAAGAGGATGCTGCTGCTTTACAAAAGGATTTAGATCATTTAGTGAGTTGGGGAAATAAATGGCAGATGGGTTGTAATTATAATAAATGCAAGATAATGTATGTGGGTTATCATTATTTAAATTATAATTTGGATGATGATAACCTTAACAATGTTATGAAAGAAAGGAGCCTAGGTGTAATGATTGATCAGTCTCTTAAGCCATCCAACCAGTGTGCTGTTACTAGTGGTAGGGCAAATAGGATTTTAGGTTGTATCTATAGAAAATTATATACAAATCTAAAGAGGTTATTATTTCATTTTATCAGTCACTGGTTAGGCCACATTTGGAGTATTGTGTTCAGTTTTAGACTTCTTACTTTAGGAAGGATATTGAATTGTTGGAAAGGGTTACTAGAATGGTGCCTGGGATGGAGGGTTAATATGAGGAAAGAGTAACACATTCGCTGCATTGTGGCCCACTGGTGGGTCACAAATAACTTTTAGTTATTGTAATCAGTCTTTTCCTATTAATAGGTTCTTTTGTTAATATGAGATTATGTTAATATCATACAAAAATGTATTGTTTAAAACTAAACTGCAGGTTTATCTTTGGAAAAATGGTTGAATAATTGAAGTAAATTAAGTTTCTAAAACCTGGCTTATTAGTTGTTGTTTGTTATGAACAAACTTTAAGGTGGTCAGTCTATAACTACTAATATATGATGTGGGCCACTTTGTATATTAGCTGGGGAAGGGGGAGACTAAAATTACAGCTGTCCAGTGAAGTAGTGTATGAATGAAATAAGAATATTGTAAATTTTATAAGAAAGTACTATTAAAAATTTTAAACTTGTATCAATAATCATGCCTAAATTCTCTGTTTTTTTTATTTATAGCACACTCCTAATAAGAAAACTCATCTTCTGTGTACTGATCCAATTACTAATTGTCAATGTGCCTTAAATAAGAAAAACCACATTCTCAGTACAATAATGTCCTTGGCAACATCAGTGAATATGGAAATATTTTGTGTTTATACACAGAGCTAAACAGTGAGCTATTTTTTCTATGCCCACCATGGCTATAAGCCCTGAAGCTTACTGCTGTGTTACTGTTAAAAAAAACATATACCAATATAAAGAACAAGCTAAAATTATGACTCTCAGAAAACATATATATATATATTAAGGCTGAAACTTCTGATAAAGCTAAGTATCTTATTAATGCTAACAACGAGTTAATAGAAACACAATTTTTAGCTACTAACCAGTAGAGAAGCAAAATTAATAAATACTCAGACAACAAAAAAGGCATATCTGAGTACATAATCACCCAAATGAACTCAAGATATGTGATACATAATTTTTTATGAAAAACTCCAAGAAAAAATGTTTATGAGCCAAGGAGATATCAGATAAATGACACCAATAAAATTGAATTGATTCATACTGTTGTAGGGTATGTTTTTAATATTTTAATTTTAGACATTTGCTAAAGGGAGTTTTTGATGCCATATGATGAGGACAAGTTCAATGACTAGAATTTTCTTTTATATGAGAAATTATTTGAACAATATCAAAAAACACTTGCTAGATTAAAATAGTTAGTAGTAAGATGCTGACTGATTGTTGAGTGTTTCATATAGTTAATTAGCACTAAATTTTGAGTTTCTGTTTCAAGAAGTACTTAAAATACAAGAGACATGGGATAAGCTACCAAATAAGTGACTAGCATTATTTATTTGTGATTTAAGACCTATTGCTGGTTGTTGTTTGGTATATTAAAGAATGCAAAATTTGTTGGATTTTCAATTTGAATAGATAAAACACTTTCATTAAGTGGACTGAACTTTGCCATCTTTTCACCAAACAATGAGAAAGAACCTGCCCATCAATAGCAGCCAGTATGATGATACTGTCAAATATTCGTTGCACACTTTCTCAACTTGAACCTATAGATTGCAGTAAGGAGATTCACAATATAGTGAGAAGGAAGAAGATATACACAGTAGAGCAAAGAATAACATTTTGTATGTAAGTAAGATTAAGAAGTCATCTATAAGGGATATGACAGTGTACAAAG